GGGGTAGTTTCTTGCATTTTGGTAGCAATGTGGAATGACGTTTTGCGGGGAAGTCTGAGCCTGAAAAGTCCCGCCGACTGTTCCGCGTGCGACACTGCCAACAGCCAGCCTGCCATCGCAATCGCTTTCTTACACCATTGACACGCGTTCCTGGGCTTAGACGTTGCCTGGACCAGCTTGACCATATACACAGTGCACGGCTGCTGGCTGACAGTCAGTCGAAGGGATCAGCTCCACCCGTCCGCGATTTCCCTTCAAAGCCTTGACATGTTGCCTCACCTTCACGGCCACTGCGACTTTCCTTTCACCTGACACGACGCGTCCATTGCATTGCCTAGGACAGGCAAGACGCATACATCCAGCCTCCTAAACCACAAACCAACAACTCCACACACACATTTATATACATACACAATACGAAGACCAGCATGCTCGTATCTATAGCGCTCGAGCATCCCCACGAGCACTACACCAATCTCGATCTCATCCAGGGAAAAGTGTTCCTGCGGGTCCCAAGCCCCACCAACATCAGCAGCATCATTGTGAAGCTCGAAGGCGAGTCGCGGACCAGGCTGCTCGCACCAATACACCCAAACAGGCCAGACAAACAGCGGCCGGTGCTGGAAGTGCACAAGTTCCTGTATAAGACACAGGTCGTATGGCCGACCAACGTGCGCCCAGAGGATCTGCTGTCGTCCAACTCCAAGGCTAGCTATACCATGAATTCGGGTACCTTTGAGTATCCGTTTCAGTTCAAGGTGAGATTTGTGCTTTGTCTTGCTCTTGAATGCTCGCTCATGAAGGATAGATACCCCTCAACACCGTCTGCCAACAAACCAACAACCCCATCTCCAACGTCTCCTTCTCAAATACCATTCCCGAATTCGCAAAGACTCCGACCCACCACATCAAGTCCACACTTCCGCCTTCTCTCTCTGGCTTTCCGGGGGAGGCAGAGATACGCTACTTTGTCAAAGTCACCGTCAACCGGCCTTCGTTGTTCAAAGAGAACCCGCGTGCCATTGCAAACTTCACCCTCCTACCCATTGAGCCACCAAGGCCAGAAAAGTCGGATGGCGAGGCCTACGCAAGACGGCAACACCAATTCCTCGAGAATGCACCCAGCGTAGCAGCAGGCAAGAAGCCAGGACTATTCAGCAGAAAGAGCTCGTCGCTCAGTCTACCACCTTCGCCCTCTATACCACACTCGCCCACTGCAGGACCAGGAAACAGCACCATGGGTCCCCGCGTGGCCATTGATGCCCGTCTGCCCAACCCGGCCATCCTCACATGTAACCGAGACCTGCCGCTTCGCCTCCTCATCCGGAACGCCAGCGAGCGCAGCAAAAACATCTACCTCCAAATGTTGCAAATCGAACTCATAGGCTACACCAAAGTGCGGGCCCATGAAGTCGCCCGGACCGAGTCAACCAGCTGGATCCTCTGCTCCTTCAGTAACATGGCCATACCCATTGGCTCCCCGACCGACGCCATCGACACGGAAGTGCCCGTGAACCCAGAATACTGGTCCGGCAAGCCGATCCCCAACACGGTGCCCCCGACGTTTACAACCTGCAATCTGAGTCGCTACTACGAATTAGAAGTCCGAGTAGGGATCGGCTATGGCAGCTACGAGCACGGCTCCGATCAGCTCGTCGTTTTACCTCTGCGGCTCCCCGTCAAAGTCTACTCGGGCATTGCACCGCCCAAGGCTCTACTCGAAGCCGGCTTTGCCGTCCCATCCGCATCCGCACCGCCCCTGCCGCCCAAACTCGGTATACCGCCCCAGCAGAATGCCTATGCGCAGTCCCATACACCTAACACGCCTACACAGGGTGGGTTGCATTCAGCACCACCGTTTTCGGGTGCGCCCCATGCACAACACAGTGCAGGTGGTGCTGGAAACCCAGATGGGGAGCCGTATGAGGACGCGCCGCCGAGTTATGAGGATGCGGTGGGTCAGGATTTGCCGCCGATTAACGGGTATAGGGGGAGTTATGCGCCGCCGGCTGTGGAGGAGGGGGCGCAGAAGTGGGGGGACGAGAAGAGGAGGTAGCGTAGGCGTGGAGGGAGTAATTCTTGGTTTATGGGAAGGGAGGTCTGGAGGGGAGTCGCTGGATTGGCGAGTTGGTTGGTCAGACGGAGGAGATGTGTGTCGATGGGTGGGTAGGTGGTGACCAGATTGTTGTTCTGTCCTGTCCTGTCCTGTCCTGTCCTGTCCTGTCCTGTTCTGTGAGTGGTGCAAGGGCTGATGTTTGCGTCGCGTCCCAGGACCAAGTAGAGTATGTCCCTGTTCATTTTGACCGACATGGACCAGGTACCGCACCGGCTGCTAATGGATAAACAGCCAGGCACATTGATTAGGAACAAAAGACCTGTGTAATCCAAACAAACATCGATCCTTGTTGTGTTCCTCGAATCGCGACGCGTCTTGGCCTGGACACTGCCGCCACAACAGCCACAAACTACCTAGGCCAAGCCCCCCACCACGCGCCTCCAAACCCCAACCGGCCTCACCGGCCTATCCTTCTCGCCCAGCCACGACATCCCAAGACCAAGGCTGGACGACTACTGCACCACATGCATCCCCCGTCCCGTCCAACACCTCATCCCATTGGCCCTCGACTCTGAGACGTTTCGAGCCAGAGTGGGGCTGCGGCCGGGCGGTCGAATCGTCGCGTCAAACACCATAAGTACACGCTCTCCCACCGCGATATGGTCGTGTTTTGCTGCTCCCTACTCTGGCCACAAGTAGAACAGCCGGCCTACTCTTGTACGAGCAAGACGGCCACTTGTGACTCACACTTGCAGCGCATGCGGGAAACATGGGCACCCCGCCCACCCGCTTGAAGAGAGGGCCATGTGGGGTTGGTGGATGGGTATGGATTGGGGATTCATGGTTTCCTGAGGTTTGCTAAAGGATCGCTCTGCTCTGCCTTGTTTTGAATCTACTCTTTTTTTTAATCACGTCCGAGAGAAGATCTTTTACTGTTTTATTGGACACCTGAGATTGCAGTGAAGTTGCGACGCGCACGATTGACGACAGAATACTAGATTGACAATTGGCACTTGGATGCGACGACTACGACTGCGATATCATGTATTCTCAACGACCACCGCCACTGCCTCTGCCACTGAAACGCTCATATTCGGGTGAGAGCCACAGCAGTCGTGGCAGCGCGGCGACAACCGTCTCGCGCTCGAGCTCGAAATTGCTGTTTGGAGAGATTCCATTGACGCCTGCGACGACAGTGGATGGCCGATGTAAGATGATATCCTTTTGCCCATGCGCGCTGTCGCATTGTTAACGCGATGAAGCAATCCGCTCGAATGGCTCCATCTGCAACTTGGTCCTATCGAACAGCTCAGTCTTCTTGCGCTTCTGGCTAAACGACCAATGTCGCGACAACCTCCTGGAACACCTGGGACCCCAAGACCTGTCCAGCTTTCGTCTCGTCTGCCACGATTTCTCGTCCAAGGCTGCCCCACGCTTATTCGAGGCCCTCGGCGTCACGTTTAAACCCTCGTCCTTTTCAAAGCCGGCGCGCATGGAAGCGCTTTCACGGATAGGACGACACGTCAAGACCTTCACCTTCCGCATGCCCCATGGTCCAGATACCTTCCTCCCACCCCTCATCGACCCCTTCACCGGCGCAGAGCGACAATTCCTCTATGAACCCCAAATCCAAACCCCCCAGCCCGGCCCCTCGGCGACCAAAGTCCCAAAATACGGCTCCTGGGAAATGCAAGACTTGCTGGTAAAGCAATACCCCCCGCTCTTCCACGCTGCCACAAACGTCCCGGCTTTTGTCGCCGCCTTCTCCCACCTCACAAACCTCACACACCTCACCATCTCCTGCCCAGGCTCCCGACACGCGCCCCGACACCGCCGCAGCGCAGTAGACTACGCCCTCATCTCCCTGCGCATCGCCGTCGAGCGCGCCCCCTTGTCCGCACTCTGCTCGCTTTCCCTGCAGCCCATGCACCCCGGCGGTCTCCTCTACTTGCACCCCATGCACGGCTTCGGCAGCACGCCCTCGTCCGCCAAACGCTGGGCCCAGATCCGCTCCCTCTCCATGACTATGGATTGCATCCCTTTATCCGACGCTGTTCCCTTGTCTCCGCGCTCCCGCGCTCATTCCCTCGAACACTTGCGCATCCTCCACGCTTACCTGCGCACCCTGTCGCGCCGCCTCACACGCCTATCTTTCCGCTGGCTCGGCGCCCGCGGCCCTTCACCACTCAGTCTGGACACGGATACGGCAACGGAAAGAGAAACAGAGACCTGCATGCTAACCCCATCACCACCTCACCACCTCCCCGATAAACCAACCCACCCACACTCCCCTACTAAACCCGCACACCCACCCCGCCCCCTCCTCTTCCCTGCCTTACACACCCTCACCCTAT